AAGTTGTACGCCTTAAATATATATAGTTTCATACGTCAAAATGTCTCAATGAAGTTGTTTTCAAAAGAAATATGTATATATACTTTTTGTCTGTTTGTGAACCTGAAAATCACATAAAATTGTTTAAATGAGTTAATTAATGGCCTTGATTAGTAGTTTCTAAGAAACAAATAAAAAACTGGACCTCAAGACACAAAAGATTCAGTAGCATCAAACTGTTCTCAACAGAGTAAGAACTGAAGGGGATAACTTTCTCATGTGCGACCCAAAGTGATTTAATGCAAATTCACGTTCCAGCTAAAGGTATCTTGTGTGCCACCGGGGCATATGGGCCTCATGCATTAGAAAATATCAGACCGGGGGCAAGTGTCAAGCATTCTTAGATAACAAGCAGGTATAAGTAATCACCCAAGCCTCTGTGTAAGAGATAAGATAGAGGGCTACAAAATTATTACCTAACACACAGGAACAATGGGGGAAAATATTAACCCAAATGGCTTTGACCCCAAACCCCTGCCAGATGGCTTAGCCAATTCCAGTTGATGGTCCAATTAACAAAAAGATATTAAGTTCCTTGGGTCAAAGATGCCTTGGAAACACAAGCAAGAGATTGCTTAGCAATGTAACAATATCCATGGTAACCAAAAACCATCTCTAACACCCTCCACCCAGTCCTTCCTCTAAAGGTGTGTCCAGTCCCTCCCCACGAGAGCAGTGTCTATTTCTGAGCGTCATTAGGAAAGAAGTGACCATAAACCATCTTCTGAGTCATTCACTATCAAGTTCATCATGATGGCATCATAAAGATGTGGGGCTGCCTTCAGTTACATCACCCCAGAATTCAGTTCCATTCAACAAAAACCCAGGCCAGGCCAGGCCCCACCTATGTCCCGGGAAGATGGACATCTATGGGACATAGCTAAGAAGCCATCCCCTGCTGGGGAGCCATTATTTGCAATTCAAATAAATATCTTTGAACCTGTATTGATATTTAAGCCTATGAGAGGGCAGGATAACAGAATCAGCCAGATCTGGGGTCAAATCCTGGCTCTAATGTCTTGTAGCTCGGTGACCCTGGCCAAGTTATATAACCTCTCTGAGCCTCAATTCCTTCCTCTGTGAAATGGGGCTAATATTGCATAAACTGCATAGGATTAAATGATATAAAGTATGTATGAAAAGCCTGTAGAGCCAGCCACAAGAATAATGCTCCCATAACAGTATTCACAGTTATTTCTATAATTTCTGGAACAATAGAATCCAACCATTTAGTTGCTCCAAATCTGACTGTTCATCAGAATCACCAGGTGATCTTGTTAAAAGTATAAATTCCTAGGCTTCCATACCCCTAAGAAATTCTAAACTGGGTAGGTCTGGGCAGGACCCAAGAACCTATGCCTCCATTATATGTGTTTATTGTACCTAGTCCATAGTAGGCACTCAACAAATCCAGGCCCCTTCCTGGCCTGGACTACTGCAACAGCTTTCTAACTGGTTGACTGAGTCTACTCTTATCCCTCTGACCTCCACAAAAAAACAGTGAGATGCTTTTAAAAGATGAGATCATGGCCCAGATGGTGTGGCTCAGCACTTGAGCTGGACCTATGATCCAGGAGATCTCTGTTCAATTCCCGGTCAGGGCACATGCCTGGGTTTCGGGCTCAAGCCCCAGTAGGGGGCGTGCAGAAGGCACCCGATCAATGACTCTCATCATTGATGTTTCTATTTCTCTTTCTTCCTCTCCCTTCCTCTCTCTGAAATCAATAAAAAGACATATTTAATAAAAACTTAAAACGATGAGATCATGTCATATTGCCGCTCCAAACCCTCCACAATTCACCACCTCACAATTCACCATCTCATGCAGAATAAAATCCATAGACGGGCCCTCCATCGGTGGTTCCTGACGCTGGGCACACAGAATACCTGGTGAGCCTGTAAACAATACCTATGCCTGGCCCAAGCCCAGACCAGCAGAATCAGAATCTCTGGAGGTGGGGCCCAAGTATGGTTGCCAGATAAAATATAGAACATCCATTTGCATTTCAGATACACAATGAATATTTTTTTTAGTATATCTATGTCCTGGGCAATATTAGGACATACTTCTACTAAAACAGTATTAACTTGTTGTGTATCTGAAAATCAAATGTAACTGGGTGTCCTATATTTTTATTTGCTAAACCAGGTGACTTTGGCCCAAGCATCAGCCTTTCCCCTGCTTATCTGCCATGCCTAGAATCTCATCCACTACTCAATAAATTCTGGTTGAATTAGTTAATGGTTATGAAAGGCTTCTCCTTCTAGCACAACCCCCTACACATTCCTTTGGGAGGAGCTGATAGGAGACATCTTAGAAGAAGTATCTTTTACCAAGAATAATAGCAGCTAATTTTTACTGAGCGTGTCCTGTGTGCCAGACACTGTTCAAAGCACTTTAGCTGTCATTTAATCCTCGTGACAACCCTTGTGGGGGCCATAATGACCGTCCTTTTACAGATGAGGAAAGTAAATTCTTCAAAATCCAACACCAAACCTCAAAAACTTCAAAGGCATACACTAGAGGGATAAACCTATTTTCCCCACCTTTCCTCCGTAGCCTTGATTATGGGTTAGGTCCTGTGTGCTGTTCGGAGGGGGTGACTGGGGTACAGGGTGGGCAGTGGGCATGGCTGTAACAGGACCCAATGTCCAGAGTCAAGAGTGTTCAATACAGGATCTCAAACGGAGTAAGAGACAGGGCAAAGCCAAGACTTCGTGCAGAATGATGCCTTGTCCGCAAAGCCAATCTGGCTGGAAGTGGCCATCAGACACTGAGAGGAGGGCTGGCTGGAGGTTTTCTGTTGGAGTCACTCCCATATGGTTACTAATGTCTTATCTTGACAAGGCCCACGTGCTCAGATACTATGCCCCCGGAAGGGTGCACACTATTCACCCATTGACCTTCACAACAGCCCTAGGGTAGGCAGAGCAGCTATTTTTGGTCCTGATTGGCTGGTGGAGAGATGAGCAGATGCAGGCCCAGAGCATTCTAAGGAAGGCACGTGTGTGAGTCACAGATTCCGAACTGATAGCTGGTCTCTGACCCCACCCATTGCCTTTTCCATTCAAGGTACTGGGCTGTCTTCCCCCAGAGACAGAGTGACAGCCTTGTAGCTGCAATGATTCGCGCTCCCACTCTGGCACTCATTAGCTCCATGGCCTCTGCATGGCCTGGACGTGAGCCTCACTTTCCTGTCCTGTAGAATGGATATGATTAGAATGCATAAGGTAGTTAGGGGAATAAGATCCATTCATGCTTTCATTAAGTGACTCTGAACACCTACCGAGTGCCCGGCACAGCCCCTGCGGCTGGGCACACAGCAGAGGGCAAGGCAGCCAAGACCCCCATTCTCTGGGCTTTTCGATTCTAGTGGGGATGGCAGGTAATAAAGTGCAAACAGAAAATGAACAAAATAATCCCACAGAGTGAGAAACACCACCATTAAATAGAACAGGACTGGAAGCCTGGTATGTGATTCCCCTGGCCTTAGAACAGCACCTGGCACACAGTGGGCGCTCAGTAAACATTTGTTCGGTGACTGAGTGTGCTGGGCGGTTAGGGAAGACTGGAAGATGCGGGCCTGAGCGGACGCTGCAACGGAAAGATGGAAACAGACGCAGGGAGAGGAGGGTCTGGGGGCAGAGAGCCAGGCACGGGCACCTCAAAGGCAAAGGTCCTAAGACTGAACCAAGGTTAGCGTTAGAGAAACTGAAAGAACAATCAGGGAGCACGTGGGTAGCTCAACACTCTGTAAGCGTCCAAGTGCTGCCTGCCCACGCGGGAAGGGCGTTTCTGTGGCTGGTTCTTTGCTTTTACCTAATTTACTCCGGAAGGTTTCCATCCAAGCCG